ATTGTGAGGATGCTACAGGACTGGGCAGTGTTTCGTTCTGTTGTACATGGGGCTGCTATGAGTCACAGCCAACTCAACGGCAACTAACACAATTCAGTTAAAGAAGAATATTGAATATACTGCGGACTGCCAGAAGAACAAATAAATCAGTCTTGGAAAAAACAGAACCAGAATGCTCCTCAGAAGGGAGAATGGCGAGACTTCAGCTCACTTTCTTTACACGTGTGGCACAGGAGCAGGCAACTTGTGGTTCTGTGCTACATGAGGCCGCCATGAGTCAGAGCCCATTTGATGGCCGCTAACAACGCCAACAACATAATTCAAGAGTCAGCTTTGGGGAGCGTGGCCCTGGCTGTTCATATTTAATTAGATTGGGGTGCGTCTCAACCTTGGTCCCAGGTAAGAGAAGTGAGGTTCAGACACAAGCCCATCTGGGCTCCAGGGCTCAGCAGGAACATCTGAGCCGTGATAACACTTGGAGCACCTCTGGATGGGGGTGCTGGGCCGAGGGCTGGAGGCTTCAGCTGCTGGACCTCCTTCTCGCTGCCCAAGCAGGTGACTTGGGGAGCTTAAAGTCAACACTGATGAACAGACGGAGGAACCTGGGAACTCTGGAGGGGGGCCCAGCATCTGTCATCTTCAGAGGCCCCCCCCAGTGAGCAGACGAGAACCACCAGCCCTACTGGACCCTTGGGGAAATCTTGAAGCCAATGACAGCCCCACCCACAGGGATGGCTTCACAGGAGGTTGGTGAGTGGAGTGCCCCCAAGGTGGCCAACTTGCTCCCTGTTACGGATTGAATTGTGTCTCCCCCAAAAATATGTGTTGGAATCCTAACCGCTGTACCTGTGGATGTGATCCCATTTGGAAATAGGGCTTTTTCTTATTATGTTAATGAGGTCACATCAGTGTAGTCTGTGTCTTAAGGCAATCACTTTAAAAAAAAATTTATTGTGCTTTAGGTGAAAGTTTACAGGGGCAAATCAGTTTCTCATTCAAAAATTTATACACAAGTGTTGTGACGTTGGTTACAATCCCCGCAATGTGTCAGCACTCTTCCCCTTCCCACCCCAGCTTCCCGTGTCCATTTGTCCAGTTTCCCTGTCCCTTCCTGCCTTTTCTTCCTTTTGGGTAGGTGTTTCCCATTTGGTCTCATGTACTTGATTGAACTAAGAAGCACATTCTTCATGTGCGTCAGGGTTTGTTTTCTAGGCCTGTGTAATCTGTAGCTGAAAGGTGGACTTCAGGAGTGGCTTCATTTCTGAGTTAGCACAGTGTCTGGGGCCCATAGTCTCGGGGTTTCTCCAGTCTGTCTCAGAGCAGTAAGTCTGTTAAGCCAACCAATACTGAGATATAAAAGGAGCGGATGAGAAACAGAAGCTAGGAAGTGCAGATGGGGAAGATAGATGCCACATGGAGATCCCCAAGGCACCGAGGAACAGAAGCTGAAAAGAGACAAGGACCTTCCCCCAGAGCTGAAAGAGAGAGAAACCCTTCCCTAGAGACAGTGCCCTGAATTTGGACTTTAGCCCCCTAGACTGTGAGAGAATAAATGTCTGTTTGTTAAAGCCACCGATTTACGGTATTTCTGTTATAGCAGTGCTACGTAACTAAGACAACCAGTAAGCGGACAAGAACCACGAGCCCAGCTGACCTCTTGGGGAAACGTTGACCACCAACAACAGGTACAATCACAACGATGGTTTCACAGGAGGTGTGCTGGCGAGTAGGGTACCTCCAAGGCGGCTGCTTTGCTCCCCTTTTTGTGTCAGGAGGGTGTGAGCAAGACCTGGCTAAGATTTTGTGGGGCCTGCTGCAAAATGAAAACGCGGGGTCCTTTGTTCAAACTTTATGCAGAATTCCAAGATGGTGGCTGCACAGCATTAAATCATGCGCGGTACCCTCTGTGGCTCGTCAGGTCACCAAAAATGGCACGGATGTTTCCTTTGGCCCCATGAAATCGGGCCCATTTGGCATGGATAGTGCCACCCTTCCCCACCCTTCAAGAGATACGTCCACATCCTAATCCCCAGTACCTGTGAATGGGTCCTTATTTGGAAATAGGGTCTTCGCAGGTGGAATTAAGTGAAGAATCTTGAGATGGGGTTATCCTGGATATAAAAACAAAAATCCGTTGCCATCAAGTGGATTCCGACTCATAGAGACCCTCTAGGGCAGGTGAGAACTGCCCCATAGGGTTTCCAAGGAGTGGCTGGTGGATATGAACTGCAGACCTTTTGGTTAGCAGCCATATCACTTAACCACTACACCACCAGGGTTCCATCTTGGATACACGGGGGCCAAAAATTCAATTGACAGGTGTCCTTATAAGAGAGAGGTAGAAGGAAGTTTTGAAAGATGCATAGAGAAGACCAAGGCAGAGACGGCAGTGATGTGGCCACAAGCCCAGAAACGCCCGGGGCCAGCAGCAGCTGGGAAAGATGAGGAAGGACCCTCCCCTAGAGCCTCCAGAGGGAACGTGACCCTGCCCTCACCTTGACCTCAGACTTCTGGCCTCCAGAACTGAGAGAGGAACTTCTTGTTTTCAGCTGCCCACTGGGTGGTACCTTCTTAGGGCAGCCCCAGGGAACTGATACAGCATAATTACATCATTAAAGAATGCTCCATTCCAGGTGATGGCTGATTACACAGTTGTTCAACGGAGCCACTTTATCCATTGCTCTGAATTGAACTGTGTCCCCTAAAAATGTGTGTCAACTTGGCTAGGCCATGATTCCCAGTATTGTGTGGTTGTCCACCATTTTGTGATCTGATGTGGTTGTCCTACCTGTTGTAAATCCTAATGTCTATGATGTTAATGAGGCAGTTATGCTAATGAGGTAGGACTCAATCTACAGGATTAGGGTGTATCTTGAGTCAATCTCTTTTGACATATAAAAAAGAGAATTGAGTAGAGAGGAGAAGGACCTCATATCACCAAGAATGAAGAGCCGGGAGCAGAGCACGTCCTTTGGACCTGGGGTCCCTGTGCTGAGAAGCTCCTAGACCAGGGGAAGATTGATGACAAGGACGTTCCCCCAGAGCCGATAGAGAAAGCCTTCCCCTGGAGCTGATGCCCTGAATTTGGACTTCCATCCTCCTGGATTGTGAGAGAATTTCTCTTTGTTAAAGCCATCCACTTGTGGTATTTCTGTCACAGCAGCACTAGATAGCTAAGACATCCATCTTAGAATCATCTAGCAGTAGATAAAATGGCACGCACCTCATCTTCTGGTTTGAATCACACCTGGATGCGCTGTTGACTGTGATTGCCATGCAGGGATGTGCTGGTACGGGATCTGCAGCCTCAGGGGATTTTGTCCACCAAGAAGATGGTTGGTGAACTGACCAGCAGACACCAGTCTGCCAGCTCGGCGTGCAAGTAGCAGGTCACATAAGGCCCTTCTGAGAGCATCTTGAGTGGGTCATCTCTCTCCATGTGGGACTTTGCAAACCCAGGTGTCTTAGTCATCTAGTACTGCTCTAACAGAAATACCACAAGTGGATGGCTTTAATAAACAGAAATTTATTCCCTCACAGTCTAGTAGGCTACAAGTCCAAATTCAGGGTGTCAGCTCCAGGAGAAGCCTTTCTCTCTCTGTTGGCTCTGGAGGAAGGTCCTTGTGATGCATCAGTCTTCCCTTGGTCTGGAAGCATCTCAGCGCAGGGACCTCAGGTCCACAGGGTGCGCTCTGCTCCCAGCACTGCTTTCTTGGTGGCGTGAGGTTCCCATGTGTCTCTGCTCGCCTCTTTCTTTTATAACTCAAAAGACATTGGCTTAAGACACTATCCAATCTTGTAGACCTCATCAGTATAACTGCTGCTAATCCATCTTATTAGGTCATAGTGATTGAATTTACAACACATAGGGAAATCACATCAGATTACAAAATGGTACACAATCATACAATACTGGGAATCATGACCCAGCCAAGCTGACAGATGTTTTGGCGGAACACAATTCAATCCATTACACCAGGGAAGCTTCGGAGACAGGATTGAGCCTCCCTTGCCTGAATGGTGGGTGAGGAAGGCTGGGTCCCAATGCCAGGGAAGCAGGCCAGTTGCGCTTGAGTATAAACAGACTCAGGAAGCCCCCATGTGTGTCAGAGCAGAACTGGGCTCCACAGAGTTTTCAACGGCTGATTTTTCAGAAGTAGATCACCAGGCCTTTTTTCCAAGACACCTCTGGGAGGCAGACTTGAACCTCCAACCTTTCCACTGGCAGCCAGGCATGGTAAGCATTTATACCTTTGCACCACCAGGGACTCGCTTTGGTCCCTGCTGTTGTTGTTGTTGGGTGCCATCAAGTCAATTTCAACTCATGGTGACCCCATCTGACAGAGTGGAGCTGCCCCACAGGGTTTCCTAGGCTGTAGTCTTTACAGAAGGAGCCCTGGTGTGGCAATGGTTAAGTGCTCAGCTGATAAACCAAAAGGCTGATGGTTTGAACCCACCTAACAAACCCAAAGAAAAAAGACCTGGCAACAAGGGTGGACTAGAACCTCCAACCTTATGGTTCGTGGTTGAGTGCACCACCAGCGATTCCTGACATGGTCGTAGATGATCTTTTTTTTTTTTTAAATAAAAATTTGTTAACCAAATTAGAATATATGTAATAGTCTTGTTATCATTGCTACTGTTATTGCTGTTCCTGTTCTACTCACAATCAACAAACTCTAGGGGACCTGGCTAACTGCTGCCACCTGTGATCTCATTTATATCTAAGACCAACCTGGCTTGGTAGGACTCGCCCCATTCCCTCTTTAAATTATGAACCCCAACTTCTCCTTCATAGGTTCGTTTGCAAAGTGCGAATGTCCTTTGTACCCCAATCCTCCACTTACCCACCATGGCATAAAGATTACAGCCTTGAAAACCCTGGGGGTCCCCCTGAGGTCCCCTGGAAGTATGCTCATCTTACCTGCATCCTACAGGGTCACTATGAGTTGGAATCGACTCGGTGGCAATGGGTATCTTTAAGGAAGCAGACTGCCACATCTTTCTCCGGAGGAGCGGCGGGTGGGCTCGAACCGCTGACCGTTCTGTTAGCAGCTGAACACTTTAACCACCATGCCACCAGCGCTCCTTGAGCAGAACAAGGTCCCCGGAAGTATGCCCACCTTACCTCGCACGTTTTGACCCACATCTCCCAGTCCCCGTGTCGAGCAAAGACAAGCCCACGCTCAGGTGCAATGGTTTAATCATTTGTGGTACCCGCAGCCACACGAAGCAATTTGGCACGTTGGGATCACAAGGTTTACCCCTTGGTCCACATTCTCCCAGTTCTGCCCAACGTTTCTTTTGCTCGTGAGAAGCGCAAGGCAGCCAACACTGGACATTTAGACAGAGCCCTGGAGGCTGCCGGGCGTGAGACACGGAAGCCCCAAGGGCCTTGAGAGCAGCCTGCTGGGTGCAAAGGCTTCCCCTGCTGTGGCTACATCAAGAGGCCTTCCTGGGTGACATCCAGGACCCCGGTCATCTCACAGCTCCGGGCCCACAGTTGCCGCTGCAGCTTTTCATCATACGTGGTCTGGAGGGACTTGGTTGCCTTCTCGTTGTACAGGTAGCAGCCGCCAACTCCTTCCAGCTCCGGGGCCACAGCTGCATAGACGGAGGTCCGAGCCCCTTCATTGGGAGTCTGTGGGGAAAAGCAGAGGCCAGGATGGGTCAGCGCTCAGAGTGGACGCACTGTTGGGGACTGAACTGTGTGCCCCCTAACTATGTGTTAGAATCCTAACCCGGAAAAAATAAAAACCAACCCGTTGACCCTGACTCATGACGACACCATATGAGTCGGGGTAGAACTGCACTCCATGGGGTTTTCAGTGGCTGGTTTTTCAGAAGGAGATCACCAGGCCTTTCTTCTGAGGCACCTCTGGGTGGACTCGAACCCTTCAACTTTTTGGTTAGCAGCCAAGCGCTTAACTGTTTGAACCACCAGGGACTCTGCCTAGCCCTATACCTGTGGATGTGATCTGGTTTGAAAATGAGGTCTCTTTGTTATGTTAATGAGGCCACATCAGTATGCTGAGCAAATAATTTGAGAAGCTGGATATATGATAGATTTTGTTTTAAAGTCTATTTTATCTGAGGTTAGTATTGCCACTCCCGCTCTTTTTTGATAGTTATTTGCTTGATATATTTTCTTCCATCCTTTGATTTTTAATAAATTTACACATCTTTGTTTCTAAGGTGTGTCTCTTGTAGACAACATATTGATGGATCCTGTTTTTTTTTTTTTT